ACACCACGTCGGCGTTCCCGTGGGCACTGCCTTATGGTGAGTCAGTGTGAGGTTATACCGTTGCAGCGCGAGAGCCCACCGGATGAGCATCGCACTGCTGGGGGTACTGCTATTCAGGTAGGAGAGTGGGTTGGGGTCCGAAACCACCCTGACCTCAGCCCCAAAGAGCCAGTTGTTGAGCTGTCTGAGGGCCCCAACCTATGGCGAAGGCCTCCTTCTCAAAGGTTGCCCAACGTGCCTGGGTAGGCGAGAACTTGAAGCTGGCAAACGAGATCGGGACCTTCTTCCCATCGTCAGATTTATGTGCTAGACAGGCTCCCAAGGCGAAATGAGATGCCTCAGTGAAGAGCCAGTGTCGTTGTGGGTCGGGCGTGGACAGTGCCGCAACCCCACCCAAAGCTTGTTTGAGTGCCTGAAAGGCAATCTTTGCCCTCTGGTCCCAAGGGACCATTTGACCATTTTTAGGAATGAGTTTAGTGGTCAGCACCGTCAACGGTAGAGCAATCTTTGCGTAGTCTGGGACATAATCGCGATAATAACCGCAGAGCCCGACTGCCCATCGCACCTCCCGTTTCGTCACCAGGTGTTTTTGCCCTTGAACGGCTTCGATCTTGGTAGGGTCGGGTGCATGCTTACCAGACCCTATCACGTGGCCCAAATACGCGATGGATGGCAGGGCCATCTGACAGTTGTTGGATGCAATAGTAAGGCTAGTTAAGGCGCAGAACGCAGCACGCAAGTGGCAAAGGTGCTCCCTCCATGACTCCGAAAAAATCGCCACGTCGTCCAGGCATGCACATGCATACTCCCGATGGAACGCCAGGAGCATGTCGATAATGCGCTGGAACGTAGCAGCCATGTTCTTTAGGCTGAACGGTAGCACGCGCCATGCGTACTGGCCCTTGTGTGTCACGAACACGGTGTACTGGCCGCTCTCCAGGGCCATCGGGAACTTGATCTCTTGTGAGCTCGAGGACGATAAGCGTGATGTAGTTTGCGCGACCAACCTGAAGAACGAGTTCCCACGAGAGTGACATGGGGAACGCGTCGTCCCTCGTGAAGACGTTGAAATTGCGAAAATCCACTTACATGAGGACGCTGCCGTCCTTTTTCGTTCGAAACACAGACAAGAGGATGGGAGAACTCACTTTCGATTGGGTAGATGAGACCTAAATCGAGTAGCTTGCCCACCTGCTTTGTCATCTCCCCTTTGAGTGCTTTGGAGATACGATAAAGATAGGGGCCTTTCAGCCACAACCGTCCTTCAAAACAATGAGCTACGCTCTTACATTCGCGATTCCTCTCAAAACAAGCCCTCAAACTCGGTAAGAAGAGTCGCCACATCCCCCGCCTCGACAAGGCTGAGGATTTCCAAGGACATCCCAGAGGCTCGGCGCAAGGAGTCTCCGCCTGATCTGTATTTTCCCGATCTGACGGGGACTGTGCGCTGTCAGTCGCCCTGTCTGCCTCCTTCGCAAACCCCACTGTTCCGACGGACCAGGCACCATCGAGAGCACCGATGGTGCCCGATCCGTCGGGCAAGAGTTGCGGGCAATGACCCACCGTGAGGGTACACCGTCAGGGGGGTGTCAAGCCGCGCACTGGTGGAAAGTGCCTCCCATGCATCTAAGGCGAGCAGACAATCGGTGCACGGGGAAAAGTCGTCTGTCAGGGCACATATCACTGACACTGTCTCGTGCACTTTCTGGGACGTTGGAGCATCCAGTTCAGTCAGCAGCTACATGGGGAGTGCGATCAGCTTTGTGTTTTTGTGTTTACCTTTTGACCGAAAGCGGACATGAGGGTTACGGAGCCGCCGGGCTCCCCCAGCTTGATCAGTAGGAGGCTCTCTCTACCGACCATTATCTCCTCCCCCGAGTTTTCGAGAGCCTGTATCACCTATCCGCCGCACATTACGTGAACCCGCGTCAAAGCGAAAGGTGCCGGTTGTTCCTAAATACCTTTGCAACTTCCAAAGTCAGCGTGTCAAGCCCCGTCTCGCGCAGTCTGACATTCTAAACCCTCACGTGCCCAAAGCAGATGGCTTTGGCTCCTGCGCTTGTGGGCATTCTGCCACACAGTGGGAAGGGCTGGCACACATAGCACAGTTGGGCCGGCCAGGGACGTAGCGAGAGGGGGGGCTTATGGGGCTTCAGCCCCCCCCCCCCCACACCCCAAATCCAGCCGACCCTATTACATACACATATATTTTGACCACCCCCCTCCCCCTCTCCACAACCGAAGTCATGGACATGCATCCCAGCCACCTCAGCCTCCCCCGAAACAAATTCCTGGCTACGCCACTGACGCCACCTACACAACGGCGAGTTCGATGGTCTCGTGGGAATCTCCCATCTCCCGTCGACCTCTTTTAATCGTTTCTCCCTCCGTCGTGAAAGCGGTTCTCTCCTCTTTTATAACCTCCCCCCCCTCCCCCACCTCCCCCTCCCCCCCACTGGCCTCGGGGCGCGTCCTTCGCTGCGTTACACCACCAAGAGACAGGCGATCTCTGCGGAACTGAGCTATTCGTTGCCAATTCTGAGGGTTGAAGTACTCGCACACGTCCTCTCCCATTGCCTCCTTCATGAGGTCTCCGACCAGCAACGACATCAGTTTAGAGAGATCTTTCACATCCCTAGCTTCCAAGTAGTACTGTAGACAGCTCTCCAGTCAGGTTGAGAATTGTTTCCACGTCTTGTTGGGCCTTTTAAACACGGTGCTGAAGCTCTTCCGGTATTCGTCTGCCGAAAGGCGGACCTCTGATGTGCGAAAGTGAACTTGCCATCCTTCATGCCTGCGCAGAGATACGCCAGTCGGGATGCAATCAATGGGGATGCTAAATGTGCATATATTTTGTGCGGCACTGCATACCTCTCAAAAAAGCACTCTACCGTTTCGAACCCCACTCGGACTTCCATCTCCTGGGGAAATTTGGGTATTGCTCCGTGAAGCATTCTTAAATAGTGCTTCAGCTCCTCCTCCTTTTCGATACCAGAGTTCAACTCTTCAACGCCAGCCCTCGTCTCCCTGACTGCGGTGAACTCCGTCATCTTAAGTTGGACCTCCATTTGTTGAAGGAGGATTCACACCTGTAGCATCTTCTCTCTCTCAATCTCTAAGGTCGCACCCAAACCCTACACTTGGAAGTTCGGCGGTAAACCCGCTACCCCACTAACTTCCATGTCGCTGCTGTCGGCAGCACCGGGCAGAACAGTCGAGGTTCCTCTCCGCGTCTCTGGCATTGAACCCTGCCTCAGGCGGTGTCCCCTAAACTTCGACGGAGAGGCGACACCACCTACCCGTAGCCAGTAGAGTCACTGCCGAGGCCCGATGCTAATGTCGTCGCCCCACGTCATTGCCGCCGCTTGCCGAGGGTGGCGTCACCACGGGTCCCCGGCAGTAACAGCAGGCGTCGTCTTCTTGACGGCAATCGATAACTTCAAAGTCGGCGACGACGTCCACATCCTGTCGACTGCACTTGTAGTTGTGAGGTCGTTGTCCCGGACCTCGATAAGGAACCCGGGGGTGTTTGCCATTGGGGACCGGGGGACCGTGGGACAAGGCTGGTTGCTGGAGGGCGGGCCATAGGTGGCAAGGACTCGAGAGAGGGACAACCAAGAAGCTTAGTGTTCGATTAAAAAAACAAAATGCTTTACTTGAACTTTCCCGGAGTACACGATACAATCGAACGACTAAGAATAACTGGCCTCACGGGCTTACGATTGCAAGACACGGGTTGAAGTGACCTAATGCACACGGTGAGGACAATGGCCAAGTAGCCAGAGGATAAGGGCTGCCACATACTGCAGATAATGCGGCGAACCGCGGGTGGACAACAGTAAGGGGCTCGCAAAACCGTTCAAACCAAAGGTTCACAAGCTCGGTCACGGGTGAAGACAGTGCGCCAAAACCCGCCTTGTCCAATGAGGGTATAGTACAAATCCCATTGGGCACAGGCCACGATGCACTCTTGACCAATTAAACGAGAGGTCATTGCTGTTGTCAAGGGGGGCATTACGATTGGGCTCTGCAGTTGAGAGTTCAAACACCATTATGTTTATGTTCCAGGGAAAATATACTGGCTTTCAGTCTCAGCGAGAATCGTTGGAATGAGCCTCACCAGCAAACGTCCTCTCCTAACGAAGCGCAGGCATAAGCCTCAAAGTAAATGAAAAACACGCTAGACACATTTGGGCGTCCTGGGAAGCCGTTTCGCAGAGAATCCCACAATGCTGGGTCCACGCCGGCGCGTATACACCAGGGTTGCTTGGTGCCTCTCCAGTCAAAATCATGGACCACTAGAACCTAACCTGAGGTTTTCGACAAAGTCGCTCGAGCTCAAGACGTGGCGCAGTTTACGAGATGGCGCGCCAGCCGTTGATAGCAGCACTCTGGGGCATTGGTGCCCGCATATATTTTTATGTGTCTGGAGGACTCCGCCCCGGGTGAGAAGCAAGACCCGCGGGCAATGACCCACCGTGGGGGATATACCACTCCGCTTGTAGTAGACGGTACAAGGTATGACACGTGCAAGCGCTAAAACAAAACGAACGACCGTGGATCAGCATAACATTCCTATAAACTGAAACAATATGGCGTCTCAGCGATACGCAAAAATTGCTACTGCCTCTACAGTCTTGACTCTTTGTGCAGAGGTCAACAATTTCAATATTGTAACAAAATGCATTGGCCCTAATAGTATTGCGATACCAAGAATACACCCGAAAATGTATTTCAATGCAGAAATACAAAACATTGTTGCAAAATTTAATTGCGAAACAGAAATATAAATACATAATGCATTTCTGAAATACTATCGCGATACATTTGTATGCGATACTGCCCAACCCTGATTCACAGTAGTATATAGAATGTAGTTCCTGTCACTTTATCCTAAAAGTAGCCAGCACCCTTGGAAAGTTCCAAGACAGACTTTAAAAAAAAAAATGCACGCTCATAATTTCCAGGAAAGAGGCTTGCAGAACAAAGAAAATGCTCACACGCAGTGAATGTTCACTCCAGCATCCACCAGCAGCTGAACAATGGTTGCCTGTCCAAACACACAGGCGTGGAAGAGCGCGGTGCGGTCCTGCGAGTCCCTCATCTCCAAGTCTGCCCCATACTGCAACGGAAATGACTGCAAGGTTACGATCAGCCTCGGTTTGCACTGTTAAACATAACTAGAAACAGCGCACAAAAAGATTGGACAAAGACAAGAAACATAGGACAAAAAGGTGCAGATTCACAACCGAGATATTATTGCTGCTCAATGTCTGTTTTTGTTTTTCCCTGCTCTATTTCGCTAGTTGTTTCCGCTTGTTTTCTCTTTCATCAATATACGGGCAATTTAGTTGCAAATCATACAAGAAAAAACAATCATGTCTCAAAAACTTTTGGAAAAAAATATACATATAGGCTGGTCAAATTCTTCCCTAGGACAAAACTAAAAAAACGCTTTTGCATCATATTTTTAGTTCTCAAGTTTTTTCACTTCTACAGGACCAAAGGGGGATTTTGGGATTTGGGTGATCATCGCAGGTCGCATATTGGGAAGCTTCGCTAGACTCAAACAGACCGCAGATAAAAGAAACTTTTTCTATGAATTGTTGAACTAAATTTGTATTTTTAGAGATTTCTTTCGTCTTCAAAGTTGGTTTTTGCCAAGACAACCCTATAAGACTATAACAATATTGTATGCTTGTTGGGGTTATTTGTTCAAGCTTTCATTTGGTATATAAAATTATGTCCTAAAATTTAATATAACCAAAGTTACCATCATCCAAACCCGGTAGGTTATTGTGAAAGGTGCCAGGTTCTGGATTTAAAAAACAACAACAACACCAACAACGAATAAAAACAACAACAAAGTTTTATGAACATTTGGCCCTTTTAATGTAAGTGAAGAAACAATGTAAAAAGTTCCTTCATTGTGCGGAAGGTATGCAAATCTAATGAAGCTCCCAAATATGCCACCTGGGACGATTGCCCAAATCACAAAATCTGCCTTTGGTCATTGAGAAGTGGAAAAAATGAGAGAACCAAGAATATCCTGCAAAAATAGTTTTCAGTCTCGTCCCAGTATATATATTTATTTTTCGAAAGTCTTTGGGAGATAGCCTTTTTTCCTACAAGATTTGAAATGTAATTACCCATGTGTGAGTTGAGAGTCTGTGCCTGTTTGCTCTTTATGTTCCGTATCTTTGTCCAGCCCTTTCCTGCACTGTTTTTTTTTAATTATGTTTAATGATTACCAGGGTATCACCTTACTTCAGTTTGCAGTACCCTACTTGGTCAAAGGTGATGAAACCAAAAAGACAAGCATACATAGCAAAGGTTGCAAGAAAGGCTGAGTAAGCACAGAAACCCACAACAAAATAAACATAATGTTACGAAGAAGGCTGCGACAATTCCACTGCATGTTGCTAAAATTATGGACCATTGCAAAGTTTATAAGAAAAAAGAAAAATAAAAGTCAAGAGTAAGCAAGTTTTTTACGACTTAAAGTCTATCTTTACAGGCGGAGCAATTTTCATTTTGGAGATGTCTTTCGGCATGTCCAGGGTGCCACTGGAAGCCGAAAGTAGAGACTCTGAACTTGAGTGGGGTCTGTCCTCGTCAGACCTTGACCCTCCTCGTCCACTGGCTCATCTGGAGCCGCAAGGGGCTGCACCTTGGGGTCCTGTAACCTCGGTGGCTTCCCAGATTTCCGAGATCCACTAGAGGCACAGGGGCCCGGTACCTGACCTTGCGGTGGCTGTTGTGAAGGAGCATGGCATGCAAAACCCTGTGCAGGGAGTCCAGACCCTTGTGCATGGGTGGACTTTGACAGACCAGAATCCAACCTGTCATCTCGGGGCGAGGGCAGCGTGCACTGCTCCAGAGGTACCGGCCGTCTGCAACGGGGTGGCCTCAGTCTGCTCGTTTAATGCATCCGAGCCTTTCACACGGTTAGGGAGGGTACCTGCACGGGCAGCTGAGATAGCCTGCCCTGGAAGTTGCACCTTTAACCTGGGACCAGAGGACTTTAGTGGTTGCGCAAGGTACCCATAAGACACTTGCGTTCCCACAGACACGATAGGTCGGTGGAGAGGCTCTTTGCCTCGGCAAAGAGCCTCTGTGGAAACCCAAAAGGCAACGCTTCGCTTCAGGATAGGGGATATTTTCTTTCACTTTCAGGGTCAGAATTTCCTTCTCTCTTTTGAAGTGTTCAGATGACCTAGAATATGCGGGGTGCTTGAATTTACAATTGACACATTTCATGTCTTCATGACAGTCATCGGCGATGTGGTCACTGCTACCGCACCTGGCTCATGTCTCGCAGCCACGGCAGGACTGCAAGCCATGCCCAAAGTGCTGACAGTGGAAGTAACAAACAGAATTAGGTACGTAAGGCCAAACCTTACAATTCAAGTACCCCGCTCTTACGGGAGAAGGCAAGGTGTTGAGCTCAAAGGTAAGTACCAGGTGTTGCATAGGAAGTTCTCCGCCATCTCTACGGATAGTGATGCATTTTACAGCAACAACACCCTGGCAGCGCATGCCTTCAAGAATCTCTTCCTCCTGGCACTCCATCAGGTCGTCCTCAGGTATAATACTGCAAATGGTGTTGAGTGTACGATGTGCAGGGACGCTCACTTTCATGTCCTGGATATGGTTGAGGCACAGCAATGCTGCAGCCTGATTTTTCTTAAAGGGACCATGAAACGTTTTTGAAATCGAATTTCATCCAAAGGTGTGAAAAGAAACACAAAAACATGAAAATAAGAAGCCAAAAAAAATTCTTCACTATAGAACTTTTAAAAGAAAACCGGACTCTTTTGGACCTTCTTTCCTTCAAAAGCTCTCTGCCTTTTCACAAAGATGCATCTGCGGAACCGCAGAACGTCAGCCAAATCCACATCTCCTATTGGGTAAGAGCCTACCTCACCAACACCGCGATCATAAACAATAAATAGCCGGCGAATGTTTCCTAGAAGTTTTGTTACATACAGTGATGTGATTGGCCTAAGCCATTTTGGAGCACCTTTTGGAGCAGCCAAAACAGTGTTTTGGAGCAGCAAATGTGGCTTTTGGAGCAACCAAGACAGTATTTCAAAGCTGTAAAAGTGGATTTTGGAACAGATATTCTTAGAAAAATAAAAACATTTGTTGCTCCATAATAAAATGTAAGTGCTGTACAAACGAAAAGCTTTTTGTGTTGTGTTGTATTCTGATGTGACGTGTTGTGTCGGAACTCGCTGCTTGTGTTTTTACTGCTGAGGCATCCCACAATTGCACAATGCTGTCACCGTTTTACTGGTTCCCGGCGTGCCACATTTTCATCAAAAGTAAGCAAGCGTAAAGCGATGGATTGGAAGCTTACTGGCGGGTAACTCTGTCGTGCAATCATGTTCGCATGCACGTGAGTGCAACTTCGGCATGCTTCCATTTGCGCGTGCTTCGTCGCGCGAGCGAAGACAACGACTGTTCGATAGAAACCGAAACCATGCCACTCCGCTCTGACGCCAACTGATTCCCAAAATTTATGCAAAATGTAACTGTCGAGCATACAAACAAAAACAGTCTAGCGGCACATGTCTGTCAGGCGGGCAAACAAGGTACAAGCTAAAAAAAACGCATGCATGCACGCATGCACACGCATGCAAGTGCACGCACGCACGTATGCACGCACTCACACACGCACACGCGTGCGCGCACACACACACACACACACACACACACACACACACACACACAAAAGAACCTGATCGCAAGACAACGCATGCCAGGGTCAAAAAGTTTTTGGACCGCTTTGTGGAACGACTAAACTCGAGACAAAGTAGTGCGCTGTGTGGGTTCGGCGAGGCAGACATTGCCTTCTTTGCTTTAGCTCACTTCTCTTCACCAACTTTCTTTCACGGAAGAAAGCCCGCCGAAGGAAACCTAGGTAATCAATACTTTGACAGAGCAGTCTAAGTTAAAAAGGGATTTTTGTAGTATAGCGTATGATTTAAACAAGAACAGGAATGTTGATGAACATGCGGCAGTACTTAGTTTCATTTTAGGATCCACCATATCTGCAACGATGTGAAAACGGCAACACCCGACGTCGCGCGACCACGGTGACTGGAAGGCAGGGACCAAATATAGTTTTCCCTCGGCCGTTGCTTTCAGGAACCAGTGCTTCAGCTCACAAAGTAACTTTCGACGGAGTGCCGTCAGGCTGTTGTCGTGAGTGGCATTTGAGCGACCGCCGACTGCAGCGCCGCGACGCGCCTACGCACGGAGTACTCTCGCCCCGGGGGGGGCCAGCGAACGACGGCAGAACGGCGCAACCATGCGAAGACACGGCTGTATGTCGCCGACCGCACGTATTGACTTTAACCCGTAATAAACCGTTCTTGTCACACCCGAACAACGGCTACGACATGGTGGCAGCGGCGGGATCCGTCCACAACACGAAGTCAGCGAGCAACCGCTCCAGGTAGGCCGTACAAGCCGCACGAAGCGTCCAAGCAGTTGCGCGGGAAAAAAAACGTTAGGCCTCGCTGCCAAAGCACGTCCTCGGACAAAGGACCACGCCAACTGGCACGAGGATGACAATGTCCCAGCAAACAACGCCTCTCAACCCGTTCGTGGTCGAGTTACCGGAAAAACTTGACTTCCGACGACCGGAAGATTGGAAACGATGGTTCACAAGGTGGGAACGATATCGAGTGATCTCGGGCTTGAAAAAACAAGACAACGAGACTCAAGTGAACACACTGGTGTACGCCATGGGCCGGGAGGCCGAGGACATCTTGGCCTCGCTGAAACTAACAGACGCCGAGAAGCAAGACTACGGAGCGGTGACGGAAGCGTCTGGAAAGCACTTCGTGCCAAGGACGAACGTGATATACGAGCGGGCGAAATTCAACAGCCGTAAGCAAGAGCCACACGAAACTGTTGACGCTTTCGTTACGGATCTTTACAAGGCGGCCGAAACCTGCGAATACGGGAACCTGAAAGAAGAATTGATCAGAGATCGTCTCGTCGTTGGACTGATCGACGTTAAGCTGAGTGAAAGACTTCAGCTGGACTCGGAACTGACATTGGAGACCGCCATCACGAAGGCGCGAAATTCCGAGGTGGTTAAGCAGCAAC